AGCTTGATATGGCGGTTGACTTAGTTAGCTAAAAGTAGGCTAGCAGACGATTAGCTATTAGCCTCCTCCCAGCTCGCCATTTATCTGTTAGCGACCAATGTCAGTCATTTCTTGATCAGCCTATCCTTCATTACCCATTTAAACCACTTGTCTATTATCCTACTCTTTATAAACTATTTGCAGATAGAATGAACCAATAATTATAAAAAGATTCACTAACAATGCTGCATATTTTATAGAATGCATTTTTCAAAAATGACACTTTATCAACTTTAAAGTACATATACTTTATAATCCTTTTTATTAAATTTTTATTGTAGTATTTTACTGATGATGGAGTACATTGTGGTTTTGGTACTTGTGATGGCCAAGAAACGTGACTTTAATCTTTTGTCTATTAGTCAGAGTAAAAAAAAAAAGTCAACAATAAGTCTACTTTAATTCAGCGCCTACATTTCCGTGTGATTCATGTGTGACGTATTTGCTCTTGTCAGTGGGTCTAATCTGGTTTCAAAGATGTTCTGCTTACTGACTCAGTTGATGGGAAACAGTGACGATTGGCTTTCATGGACTTTTTACTGGCTCCACTCGTTCTGAGACAATTATCTGACGAAGCTGACAATGACTGGAGTTCACTGGTTAACAGGAAGCCCGATGCAGTTCAACCACCTAATTCCTGAGTAGGCGGCAGGTTTACTGTCAGACACTTCTCATTGTCCCCCTTCAGCTGGAAAATCAATGGTCTGTTTTCAACGTCACATCCAAGAACAAACCTGTGGTGTTTGTTTCCTTCATATTTTCATGATGAGTCATACGGAAGAAATTGTTTCGTTTTGGGTGATTCCATCTCAAATCATAAAGGGTTTTCTGCTTGACCCTCTCGGATTTATTTAAAACTTTTCATATCATCTACTATTTCAAAAGTATCTGTGAAATTTTAGATTGATATATTAAATACTTACCAAGATATATATTTTAAAAAAATGTCTTCCACTGTCATCTACTACCTTATAATAATTTATTCTTTGTGGTACAAATTGGGAACCATTATTTATTAAAATTCAACGAAAGAAACTTTTTCTTTCTTTCTTTCTTTCTTTCTTTCTTTCTTTTTTTGCTTTACTTTTAGTCTTTCATATTAAAACTATTCTATATGTTTAGTTTTGTTATTGTGTCATGCGGCTACATATGGTTCAGAAAATATCACGAGTTGGTTAATGGGCTCAAAGATGAGACTTTTCATGACAACTTTGCTTTTTTTCATATTTCAACTCACCATAATCAGGGATTAGCGATTTTAAGCTTTTACCTTTTATATTTCCTGAGATGCTGTTGTTCAAACAGCCTCAAATTTCCTTGTGTGAAAAAAAAAACCTGCTGCAAGTGGGTCAATGGACAGGTTTTTTTTCTTTGTTTTTTTTTTAACAATCTAAAAATTAACAAATATCTTTTAAAATATCCATAGACCAGATCAGATAGTTGAGCAGAAACTGTTCTGTAAAAGATATTTACTTGGTATCTGTATGTATGTATTCAATTCAAATAATAGATCTATTATTTTTATTTCATTATGTATCTTGTCATACATATATATGTACATTTAATTAAGTAAACAACTCCAAACTTGTCAAATTCACTGTATTACATCTTAACACAATTACTAAATGCTCACTTCTGCGTCTGTCACTTCAGATTAAATGTCTAACTAAATTCACACAATGAACTGACTTCTTGTTCCTGCTAAAGTGAACAAGAGTAATTATCCCAAGCAGTACTTACATAACTAAATTCCTTCCTTCCAGTTAACAGGAAAAAAAAAAGAAAAAAACACGCGGCAGAAACATAATCACAGCCACTATGATGGATGCCTCTGATTCACGTAGAAAACAAAGGCACTGCACTATCAGATAACTATTCAGCAACTCATGTGGTGGAAAGTAAGTTTATTGTCGTTCTCTGCCATTTGATACTTCAACCGCAGAACGTTTCAAAAAGAAATATTCTACTTTTTCCTTCACTGCATTTTTTTCCTCCACAATTTTATCTATTTTGCCACTCAGGTTTTCTAATGTCATACATTTCAGCAGAAATAAACTAATCAGTAGGATATGAAGTGGTTAAAACTACCTCCATCTTGATTAGATGCCATATTAGAAATGAGTTTTTCAGTCATGATTATCAGCAATAACAAAAATACATTCATATGAACATAATCACTGATAAACAGCTGAAAAAAAGGCTAAAAGATAAATGGTTTTCACGGTCAGCTAAGAGTTGGCTTATAGATTAATGTTTGAAATAGTTAGCTAAAATAGGCTAAAATATATAACAGGCTTATCACTATATGTTTAAAATAGTTATCTATGAGTAGACTAAAAGATGAATGTTTGAAATAGTTAGCTAAGATAGGCTAAAAAATATAGCAAGCCAATAGCCAAATGTTTCAATTTAAATTTCATTTTCATTTAGCAGACGCTTTTATCCAAAGCGACGGACATCTGAGAGCGGATACAACACAAGCAAAGATCTAGTCGGGAGAAAAACAAACTAGTTATGTGCCATAGAACAAGTTCAAGTGTGTCAGGGTGTTGATGTCAATAGCAGGCTGTGAGGGAGGTAATAGGAATTTTGTTTAGTTTTTTTGTTTTCAGTCTGTCAGGTGCAAAGGTGTTCAGTGAAGAGCTGGTCTTTAGTCTTTTCTTAAAGACTGAGAGGAAATCAGTGGATTGAACAGAGTTTGGTAACTTGTTCCACCACCGGGGAATAGTTGGCAAACAGAAGAATGGTTGGAGTAGTATATAAATAATAATGATGCAGAAATAAACATTATATAACTTTCTATAAGGTTGGTTCTATAATCTCCTCTGATAATACTCATGACTTTTTAATTCAGTATTAAAATTTTAACATGACTTTTTGGTTTAGTTTACCACCATAAAATCAGTTAAATGTTGTGATGATTGTTGAACGTCGGTTGCTTTGGGTGACCATAAACCAGGACACTGAGATACTCAAATGATACTCGAAGTTTACGCAAAGATGCCTCATAATTTCAATGCATTTAAAGCATGCCTCCTCTGTATTGATAGAAAATTGTTATAGTAATTTTATAAAAAACAGCCAGGACAGGGGGAACAGGACGTTTGTTCAGCCTACAGTTGCTGTCAGGTCTGAGCTGATTACTTGAAGGACATAAAGAGCTGTGGGCGTGGAAAGAATTCAGAATGCACGTGAAGTATCTGCAGTTTCTGAAAACACCTGCCACGTGTAAAAAATGTGTAAAAGGAGATTTGCAGCAGACATCGACTGTCAGATTCGACCAGACTACTCTACCGACATGCAGAAATGCTGCCTGGCCAGATGAACCTGATGACAGTTTCTCTGCATTGGCTGCTCTCGGTACTGAAGTCTTCAGAGGGTTTGTGTTGTGCTGCTCACGTGAGGTCAAGGTTTGATTTAGACAGCACAAAGCACCAAGCTGTTGGGATTCAGGATTCACTATTTATTTGGACAAACTGGAAAAGCTCAATAAACAACCCTTGAACATCTCAAGTGATGAGAACAGCTCCTTTATACAGCTCAATGGTGTCCCACCTAGAAGTCACGGCCCTCTAAAGCAGGGATCTCGAACTCCGGTCCTCGAGGGCCGCAATCCTGCAAGTTTTAGATGATTCCTTCTTCCAACACACCTGATTCAAATGATCAGCTATTCATCCAGCTCTGCAGAAGCCGGATAACGATCCTGATCATTTGAATCAGGTGTGTTGGAAGAAGGAATCATCTAAAACTTGCAGGATTGCGGCCCTCGAGGACCGGGGTTCGAGACCCCTGCTCTAAAGAGTCACCATATTTATCGACGTGGCGACCCTGAGGGACGAGAGGTGATGTAACCCTAAGTAAAGAGAACTCATAGATGTCTGAATTGCAGTAAGACAGAAAGACAGAGATCGTAATAATAATAAAAGAAATTTAAACTTTGATTATATATTTGTATAAAAACTGAAAAATCAATTCACTTTAATTAAAATGTACAACATTTTCCCAAAACCTGCAGTTCAGAAGTCCTTGAATTTTTGCACACTGGAGCTCTGAATCTTTAGTTTTTTATGCAGTCTGGATACTGCAGTGGATTCATTTATCACACATTTTCAAAAAAGAAATAGAATAAAGAGATTTTGTTGATGTCATAATTTCTAACTTGTATTTGGTGAACTTTCCTGACAGAACTGTGTGTCGGAGATGATTAGTTCAGTGACTGTTGGAAAACTGAACATCAACAGTTTCTTGCTTTAAATTCTATTTATGACCTACTGCTACGGCCCAAATGCAGATTCTAGCTGAATACAGTTTAGGGCAAAATAAAAAACCTTATCATATATTTTCTATTTGCATCGTAGTGCTACCCCACTTCCATCTCACAATCTGACAGCCTTAAACAAACGCTGCAAAGCGCGACATTCAGTGAAACTGACTGACACTGTAGTTGTCTAAAGATGCCTTTAAGGGAGATTTTTCTCTAATCTGTGATTTTTTTTCAGAGATATTGGATCATTCGACCCATTTGGCCCACAGACAGTCATGTAAGGGAAACCATGTGAGGTGTTTACAGGGAAAATGTCTGTTTGATGAAACAAATCTCAGGCAACTGAAATGTGAGAACAGGCCTCGACCGACACAGCTGGGCTCAGAGCCGAGGAAATGGTTTGATCTGTAACCGAGCATTGTTTTTATTGTTAAATAAGTAATTCATCAAACTACAGAGGTCACAAAAAGTTGAAAAATGCACAGAACTGCAGCAGAAGTGGAGGAAATACCCAGGTCTGTTAAAGAACACTTGACACTGACATGTTTGATGTGAGACAAACAGGTGAGTTGCAGCGTGGTGCTGGGCGTGTCGTCAAACAGGTGACAGAGTTGTCATGTCACAGGTAGAGAGAGGTGTGTTTGAGACGAAGGGAGGGCAGAAGAAGACAAAGAAGGTTACTTATGTTAGAGCAGACGTGAAGTGATGGATTTACAATCATGGCTTTCTACAAGATGATCCGTGTGGCGACTGTACTGCTGATCCTCCTGTTGCCAGGTAAGAGCCTCACACACCTGATCAGGTAGCGCTGCTGAGGAGAAAGTCCAATCCTTTAGTTCAGAAAGAACAGCATTAGTGATGCAAATGCAGGGAAAAGTGCAAATACTGTCACTGTGAGTGCAAAATATTAGTATGAAATATAAGAAAGGAAAAAAACAGGAAGAAAATCTAGTTGAGGTTGAATAAAAGCTGCAAGGTGACGCAGTTGGTNAATACTGGAAAATATGGTGGCTCTAAATGATATACATACTTAACAATTCACATTTTTACAACCTCGGCAAACTTTTTCAAACCACTCAGCACATCATCTCGAGCTACTTATTTCACTGTGCTGAATGTGTCTTCCATCAACTTCCTCCTCTGTATACTGTTTTTGAGCCATGCTGGATTACTTCACTGATGCAGTATGCTTTATTTTCCTCTCAGTCTTTCTTGTCATCTCCTCTCATCTCTGTGGAAACACTGCCTGCAGCTCAACTGAAAACTATCTGAATTTTTAAGTGTTGGTCACAGCTGAGTTAATCACGAAGAACCAATTGTGCCGATTAGCTCCAGAGGGTTTCTAATGCAATTTGGTGCAAATGGTATATTTTTGATGACGTTCTGAGGTGTGTAGAATGATGTGATACTGCTGAAATTTGAATAAAAAAACAACTTAGATATGGGACAGAGCCACACATATAATAATAACTGTCATTATAATAATAAGAATAAAGAGATATATATATATCATTATTATTAGTAGTAATATGTCACATGATTTTTTGTCACCTGACTGTTGTTCACAGCCCAGTCACTCATGGCTTCATAGTTGCTTTGAGGAGTGCAAAACTTGTTTGTTTTTTTTTTTTTCTTTTTACAGAATTTGTTTTGAATATTTGACATAGAATACAGGGATTTCAAGGAATTTTAAGCGTAGATATGGTTAATTGTCCTATCTCAAATTTATTGAATTTTGTAGATTTTTAAAAATGACGTGATTGGATAGAGTGATTTTGATGAAATCGCCTGATTTTAAGTTTAGATTTAGCAACTTTTCCTGACAAAACCACAAGTCACACATGATTTATTCAGTGACCGTGAGAAAGTTAAAAATATGATAAGTTTGGCAATAAGCAAACTCTCTGCAGGAAAGTGTAAATGTATGTCTTATAAATATCAAACTCTATCTTTAAGGCATAACATCAGATTTCTGTGCAGTTCTTTCTGTGAAAGTGATAAGATTAGAAACACTGACAAATCTCCTGTGGGTTTGTTCAGGGTGACTCTGGCGGCCCGCTGATGTGTAAACAGGACGGCATTTGGTTCCAGGCGGTCGTGCTGTCTGTTGAAAGCAACCCCACAGAAGACAACTCCACCCAAACTAACTCGACCGGAAAGAGACGGCCCAGAGCCAACATACAGGTCTTCACCAGAGTGGGCATACAGGTCTTCACCAGAGTGAGCAGCTTCCAGCCCTTTCTGACTCAGAACTTGGGCACGCTGCTGTCTCCAGCCTCCACCAACAGCACCGCTAACACCACTACGATCCCCGACACCACCTCAACCTCCAACACCGGCATCACCACCAACACCAACACCAACACCAACACGACCGCAACCCCCAATGTTTCTGTGGCCACTGGGGGCGCTCCTGCTCTATCCTCCGTTTACTTCTGCAGTTTCCTAATCGCCCTGTNGTGTAGTGGAACAAAAAGGAGAATATTTCCCTCTGACTTACTATAAATAACTTCAGGAAACTCTTGTTTTGGACTCACATCTCATTTCAGCTTCATTAGCAGCTTTGTCTTTTTAAAATAAATCATCACATGACATTTAAGAAGCAGAAGAAATTAATGTTTGATATTTGTCCTGTCAGTCACCATCAATAATTAGTACCTGTCACTCAGTACAAAGCTCAGCTTCTTGTTATTGTCTACATGCTGCGTTCTTCAATAACACATCAGGATTAATTCAAGAGGATTTTCTCTGCGGTTTGGATTCATTGGGTTTTCAGTGTATTCTTTTTTATTGTCTTATTTTTAATATTTAAATTCGTCAGGTAAATTTGTGTTTTTATATAATATTGAAGGGTAAAAATGTGTAACGCCAGTCTTATTTCTCTGTTGGAGAGCAGTGCTGTGCAGTGTAAATGTGCTGAATGATTTGACTATTTAGGTTTTATTGCTCAATTATTTTTTACTTATGTTTACGAAAATTTACATTTTTGCATCTGTAGTTTTTTAAAACTTATTTTTCTTAATTGTTGTTGCATTGCCTTTTGTGTATTCTGCCTTTGTGTTGTCCTTGATATACTTTGTACTTTAAAACCCTTGTTCACAAAAGTGCGATGTACATAAATCAAAACATTCCTTTTTCCAGCAACATTTTCCAGTTCTTCCCGGGGGATTCCGTAGCGTTCCCACTCCAAATGAGATTATATAATCACTCCAGCTAGTTCAGGGTCTACTGTGGGGTCTTTTCCTAGGTGCCCCCAAAGACCTCTAAAGGAAGTCTCTAAGGAGGCATCTAATCAGACACATGAACCACCTTAGTTGGATCGTTTCAACACAAAGGAGCAGTGACTCTACTCCGAGCTCCCTCTAGATGTCCGAGTTCCTCAAACTATTTCTAAAGCAGAGTCCAGATGTATCTGCGACCTCATTTTCCCGGCCCCTTCCACCCTTGAAAATTCAGGAAAAGTCAACAGATGAGCCCTTGATCCAGTAATTTGGTTCAAGAACCTTTCCTATGCTGGGAGTTAAGCCTAAATATAGCTAGCTGGTTTCCGCTTCGGCTCCCGCACTAGCTCCAGTTCTTTTCCCGCCACAGAGGTGATGTTTCACGTCCCAACAACCAGCCTGTTTCACTGGGGGCCATCACACCAAGTTGCCCATACTTGCTGCCCAATGGCACCCAATTCCAATGTCCAGCAAAAGTCTGACTTTCATGTATTTGTAGGCTATAAAGTGATTGGCAGAAAGCGGCATTTGTATGGTATATTTTTTTAGTTTATCACTTGTAAACAAACGTGTCATTTATGCCATCTTAAAGAATATGTTGCTTAAAGAAACTAACACAGAAGAAACCGATCAATTTTATATGCTATAACTATAACTATAAAATGAAGCCCAAGGGTCAGTGAACTAAACACAGGCATTCGACTGTCGATTTTTGATACAGACAGTGAACTAATCACAGTAAATATAAAAAACAGATTTCAAGACTTTTGTGTTTGTTTTTTATTTTCAGAGTCTGAGTCACAACTAGATGGTAAGTCAGAGTTTCTTCTGATGATCATGATCTTGTCATTTGTGAAATCTGAAACACTTTATTTTTGTCGAATACAAATGTTAGCACTTTCATTTTGTTAATAGTTTCTATCAAACCTTAAAACCCAGACTGAAGGCAGAGAGTTGCTCACTATGTGTTTCTAATATCTTTAGTTTGTGGTCAGCCAAGTCTCAACACCAGGATTGTTGGAGGAGAGGTGGCCCCTCCAGGCAGCTGGCCCTGGCAGGTCAGCCTGCACACCATTGGAGGGATTCACTTCTGTGGAGGATCCCTCATTAACAACCAGTGGGTGGTGACTGCTGCTCACTGCTTCTCAAGGTGAGCAAAAATAGTCAATGAAGAACAAGTATTCACATCAAGGAGACCACTAACAGAACCTGAACCAACAACCAAAACGTGTTCTACTCGTTTCATGACTCAATATCTTCCAAATGTTTTAATTAGAATACAGATCTGTTTAGCTGTTGTTCAAACTGTAGACAGACAGGCAAAAATTACTAAAGTGAGGAAACAAACATGCTATATGTGTTTCTTTTGTGACCCTCAGCACTCCAGCGAGCAGTGTGCAGTTGTTTCTGGGCCGTCAGAGTCAAGAGGGATCCAACCCCAATGAGGTTTCTCGGACAGTAACGCAGATCATCACCCATCCCAACTACGACTCCTCAAATCTCAACAACGACATCGCCCTCCTGAAGCTCTCCTCACCCATAACTTTCACCCGCTACATTGCGCCCGTCTGCCTGGCAGCATCAGACAGCACCTTCCACGCTGGCATTGACACCTGGGTCACCGGCTGGGGCAACATTGGATCTGGAGGTGGGTCATAAAGCCAACAGGTTACATCTGCTGTATGTTTAGTTACGTAAACAGCAAAGAGAAACCCAAGCAAAAAGACTGATACCAATGAAAAAGACATGCAAAATGATAAGAAATAGATGTAAAATTACTGCAAAGCGTTCGGAAAAAGGTATCGGTAAAACGGCTGCAAAGATGCATAACAAGTACAAAGAGAATCCAATTAAGAACAAGAGATGCAAAATGAACACAAGCAGACATAAAACCAATGGAAACAGACAAAATGTCAGAAAAGACACACAAAACAACCAGAGTGAGATGTAAACCGAAAGAAAAGAGATATAAAATGAATACAAATGTGCATAAAACTGCAAAGATGTGCAAAAAGACCCTGAAGTGATGTAAATAAACCACATAGATACAGAACCACTGATAAAGAGACACTAAATGAGCATGAATAGAAGCTAATTCATTGCAGAGATACAACACTCAAAGGTTAACTGCAAGGACGCACAAAAAGACCACAAAGACATTAAAACTGGCTCAATGAGACGTAAAATTAACAAACACATGCAAAACAACGACAAAGAAACACAGATGAATCTGAAAGAAGTAAAAACAAAGGGACTGTTGGTCTTGGTCCATGGAAATACGGAAGACCATGTTGTTTATTGAAAATGAATTTGTGTTTTCTTAGTGAGCCTTCCTTCTCCACAAAACCTGATGGAGGTGGAGGTGCCAGTTGTGGGAAACAGACAGTGTAACTGTAACTACGGAGTGGGCCGGATCACTGAGAACATGTTGTGTGCCGGGTTACGTGAAGGAGGGAAGGACTCTTGTCAGGTGATCATCTTTACCTGTTTGCATCAGATTTCACAGTGCCAATAAAAAGTATTCAATTGGAAGTTCCCCCTTTTATTTCTTTTCAACAACGAACCATGAACAATTTAATTTGGCTTTTTTGACAAGAAATTCAGGTCAAAGTAAAAACAGATTTTTACAAAGTAAAACAGACAATAAGTAATTACACAAATATTCACCTTATTCATGTCAGCATTTAATAGCTTAATTGGCTTAACTGTATTCAGTGTTTAGGAAGTCATCCCCTGACTTGTGCTTTTTAATAACCTATTAACAGAATTTCTTGGAGTGTTTGTTTGTCTTCGTATGTAGTTATATCCAGGAGTACAGAGTCACCAGAGACTGGACTTTCCAGATGCAGGTGTCTTTATACAACAGTCACTAAGATACATTCGCTTCACTTAGATGATCTCCATTTGAAAATTATTGTCAAAAAAGCTGTATTAAATTGACTATGGTTCGATCTTGACACCTGATAAAAAGAGAAAACTTCCAAAGGAATGAGCACTTTTAAAAACGCTGTACTTAATTCTGCTCATCTGCTCTGCAACTAACTGTTTCTGTTCTGTCAGGGGGACTCAGGAGGTCCACTGGTGATAAAGCAGGGCAGCAGATGGATTCTTAGCGGTATCGTCAGTTTTGGAAATGGTTGTGCCTTGGCAAACTTTCCAGGAGTTTACACCAGAGTGTCCAGGTATCAGACCTGGATTAATGAACAGATCACCAGCAACCAGCCAGGCTTCATCACCTTCACGCCCACAGGGACTGACAGCGACCTTAATGTCACCTGTGATGGCCTGCCACAAATTACAACTACCAAATCTACAAACACTGACTTTACAACCATCACCTCCCCTCCAACCACCACATCCAAACGTAAGTGAATGTCAGACCCAGACTTTTTTTTTATACAGAGTAGCAGCTTCATGTATATCCTGATCTCTTTGTAGAAGTTGTGAAATATTTGGTATCTGAATCTCAGTGGTCTGATTTTCACTGTGTCTACCGTTGACTTTTCTCTCCAGCGGTGGTCTGTGGACAAGCCCCGAGGAATTCTCGTATTTTGGGGGGGAATTCAGTGGCGACAGACGGGGCATGGCCATGGATGGCGAGTCTCCAGAAGAATGGAAATCACATATGTAGTGGGACTCTGGTGGCCGTGGACTCTGTCATGAGCGACGCCAAATGCTTCTCAAGGTGAGATCAGTTGGTCCTGATGGTGTGGCTGAATGAAAACTCAGAAGATTACCAAAGTCATCGCAGTTCATTCTCTGAATGTTGGTGCCAATGTTGTACGCCCGGAATCTTTCTGCATGGAGTCTGTGGTCTCTCCAGGTTCTACAGCTTCCTTCCACAGTCAAAAAACATGTTGGGGTTAATAAACCGCTTAATCCTCACTAGGGTCGCAGGGGGGCTGGAGTCTATCCCAGCCGACTCAGGGCAAAGGCAGGGGACACCCTGGACAGGTCACCAGTCT